TACGCTTCTTAGTGGTTTTTTTTTTCACTTACAGTTACACCAAAAATAATTGAAAAACTTTTTTTTTATATTAATTGTCTTTGATTCATGCATTCTTCTCATTATTCCTCATTAAGTTTGAGTTTTTAACGCGTTTTTAACATTCTTACGGCGCTATGATACAACTATTTTAACTCTCCGGAATGCGTGGGGTATCACGACACATTTGAAGGTGTTTTCAAAACAGCCAAGTTCCGAGACCCGGATTATTGTTTTGCATAGTTCGTATTATTTTGTTACATTCCGTACCACTTGTTTATTTTTAATCCTCGTATAAAAACCACCCATTTGCTAAGTACAAATTCTAGCTGGAGCGCGATTCAGCTTTGCATTCACGACTACAAAAATGTAAAAAGAAATCGACAAGGCCAGCGTGCATGAAGGCTATTTCAATTATAATCTTCTGCCACATTCTTACGGCGCAATGATACAACTATTTGAACTCTCCGGAATGCGTGAGGTATCTCGTTGCATTTGAAGGCGTTTTCAAAACAGCCAAGTTCCGAGACCCAGATTATCGTTTTGCATAGTTCGTATTATTTTGTTACATTCCGTACCACTTGTTTATATTTATTACTCGTATAAAAACCACCCATTTGCTACATACAATTCTAGCTGAAGCGCACTTACGCTATGCATTCATGACTGCAAAAATGTGAACGGAAATCGAAAAGACCAGCGTGCATGAAGGCTATTTCAATTATAATCTTCTGTCACATTCTTACGGCGCAATGATACAACTATTTGAACTCTCTGGAATGCGTGAGGTATCACGTCGCATTTGAAGGCGTTTTCAAAACAGCCAAGTTCCGAGACTCGGATTATCGTTTTGCATAGTTCATATTATTTTGTTATATTCCGTACCACTTGTTTAATCTTAATCCTCGTATAAAAACCACTCATTTGCTAAGTACAAATTCTAGCTGGAGCGCGATTCAGCTATGCATTCACGACTACAAAAATGTGAACGGAAATCTAAAAGGCCAGCGTGCATGAAGGCTATTTCAATTGTAATCTTCCGTCACATTCTTACGGCGCAATGATACAACTATTTGAACTCTCCGGGATGCGTGAGGTATCACGCCGCATTTGAAGGCGTTTTCAAAAACAGCCAAGTTCCGATACCCGGATAATCATTTAGCATAGTTCATATTATTTTGTTTTCATTTCTAACTACTTGTTTATTCTTAATCCTCGTATAAAAACCAACTATTTGCCAAATACAATTCTAGCTGAAGCGCACTGAAGCTATGCATTCATGGCTGCATTACGAGGATTAAGAATAAACAAGTGGTTAGAAATGAAAACAAAATAATATGGACTATGCAAAACGATAATCCGGGTATCGGAACTTGGCTGTTTTTGAAAACGCCTTCAAATGCAGCGTGATACCTCACGCATTCCGGAGTGTTCAAATAGTTGTATCATTGCGCCGTAAGAATGTGACGGAAGATTATAATTGAAATAGCCTTCATGCACGCTGGCCTTGTCGATTTCCTTTGACACTTTTGCAGTGGTGAATACATAGCTGAAGTGCGCTCCCCAAGTAGCATTTTTCAACGGAAAAATCGCGATTTTATCGCCAATAAAGTCGCGATTATCCTCGATTTTATCGGCGATAAAATCGCTAGGATCATCAACATTTGAGCGATTATCCTCGATCTTTTTGCGATTTTATTGCGATTTTATCGGCCCGAAAAAATTGCGATTTTATCGCGATAAGATCGAAGATGATCGCTCAGATGTTGATGATCCTAGCGATTGATAAAATCGCCAAAAAAAAGGGGTTAAAGTTGTCAGCCGATTGCCGTTAGGTTCAGCCGTCAGGTCCTTTGACGAAGACGAGCGTAAAATCCCCGGAGCCTCCGCGGGGATTCGAACCCCAATCGCTACGGTGGAAGGCCAGCACACTGTCACTATGCTATGACCGATATATGACTTGAGTGTGCGAATTGAAGCCTCTTATACATGGATCGGCGCTTCGCAACCTCACAACTTATGTCTTTGCGTTGACTGACACCGATTTTTCATTGGATTTTTTTTTGTTTAATTTTCCCTCCTCTGTATTTTATTTCATACCTTGAAATACGGTTGGTAAAATAAGGTTCTATTGGTAATCTCATCATTCTGTCTCTGTAAAATTACCAATAATAGTGAGATGGCAAAGTTACCGATGGACCTTGGGAAAAACGCCAATAGTTTTTATCGACTGTGGTACAATTACCGAGATAAAATGGTAAAGTTACCGGGGATTGATTACCAATAAAAGTGGTATTCTTACCTGAAAAAATCAGTAAAAATACCGGTTTTCAGGTAAGCTTACCAGTCTGTCTTTGTAACATTATACTGATAATTGATATAAAAAAATGAGATGGTTAAGTTACCAACGGATCTCGGTAAAAACGGCGGCGGCGGAATAGAAACATCTTTCATATGCGTCATTCATGCGTTAATGAAAAATTGCAATTTATTGCAATTTTATCTCTATAAAATCGCGTTCGATAATATCGCGATTTTGTTGCAATTTATCGCGATTTTTCTCCCGATAATATTGCAATAAATCGCGACGTCGATAAAATCGCGATACATTCTCCAATTAAATCGCAATTTATCGCGATCACTGCTACTTGGGTCCAGCTAGAATTGTAATTACAAATGGGTGGTTTTTACATATACGAGGATTAAGATTAAACAAGTGGTACGGAATATAACAAAATAATACGAACTATGCAAAACGATAATCCGGGTCTCAGAACTTGGCTGTTTTGAAAACGCCTTCAAATGCGACGAGATACCTCACGCATTCCGGAGAGTTCAAATAGTTGTATCATCGCGCCGTAAGAATGTGACGGAAGATTAAAATGGAAATAACCTCCATGAACGCTGTGCTTGTCGATTTCCTTTGACATTTTTGCAGTCGTGAATGCACGGCTGAATCGCGCTCCAGCTAGAATAATTACTATACTCTCAGGAAATTAGAGATTTTGCAGCCTTTTCTCGTTTGTAATTTTTGTTTTCTAAATCCGATTTTTTTTTTATACCTACATTAAAAAACATTGCAAAATTTGTCGCACCGTAGATTTGCCGCCATGGGCAGCGGCCCATGTGGCCACCCCCTTAATCCGGCCCTGAACTTGAGTATAGATTACGAACCTTGATTTTTTTCATTTGTTACATTGTTTGTTACTTACGTGGTGTGAATTGTTTAATCTAAGTCAAGTTGTGTTTGGTCTTTTTCAGTTAATGCTTTTCTCAAAGCATGTTCTTAGTAATGAATTTGAATTCACAGCATGTGGGTTTTTTGCCCTTAATATGGGTCTAGTCACATCTGTGAGTATCACTTGATGAATACATAATTGATAGGGAAAATAATTACTTTTCAAAAAAAAAATTTAAAAAAATAAAATAGAGGAAAATTATATTGCTCATTATACCTTTCCTCTTGACTTGCTCTGACACTAGGCTTGTTTTCAGTGGGCCTTGAATAGCTCATAGAGCGTGCGCCAGACAAGTTAGCGATTAAGGGCAGCAAAACAATTTGAAAAATACCCTTAGAGGTAGGTTTTGGGTTTTCAGTATCTGCGCAAAACAGCAGCCTGAAGTCGTTCTTGCTCTCAGTCAATCCTCCATAGCTATTGGACAGCAGTAACGTAGTTGCTTGCAAACAGAGAGTACACAACTGCCAACTTATCTGACTTGAATTTCGACAATTGATGCATCCTCTGGGTTAAAATGATGAGAAAAAATATTAAAATTTCTGTTCTAGCACTAAAGAGAAGAATTTGAAAATTATTCATTTAATGACGGTTTACAATGTCTGCTTTGGCTTGAGGATAGGCAGCAAATTTTGTCATCAAACTTGATAAGCGAGCTTTAAATTTGCTCTTGAATCTTGACCATTTTACAATTGATCTACTGTTTTATAATTTGAACTAAAAATAAAATGTAAAGAAAAAAAAAAGATAACGTACACGATTGAAAAGTGTTCTCAATGGATTTAAAAATAAAAAATCTCTTTGCATTAAACAGTTGCTTATGATGAGTCTTGATTGATACATTTTACTTTTATGAGGAAACCAAACAAGCTGTAAAAACTAAACTAATAGCTCTTCTTTATGTGATATGGTTTTTTTTTTTCAGGCTATAGCAACGGGTACAACATATTTGGTGATTCTTCTACAATTTCAGCCATGAATGAGATATGCTTGAGGAGACTGGATTCAATTAAAATTCCAAACAATCCCAAAAGCCAATAGAATCAGTGAGAACAAAAACACACCAACTCGAAAAAAATGAAAATAATCAAACCACAAGCAAAACTGCACAGTAGTTGAAGAAGTTGGCACAAGAAGAAGATTTTTGGTGCCGAAAGACAAGTACTTAAAGACACTTTAAAGGTCCAACTTGGAACAGATGCGTTAACTTCAATGACCTTTATGAAAACTGACTCTCTTTGATGAAAATTGAGTATTTTTGAGTTACCGAGTTAGTGTCTTTTTGTTCTCACTGATTCAATTGGGAGGGAGTAACATAAATAGGGGGGGGGGGGGGCAACATATTTTTGTCTTAAAATTCCTCGAATTTTCCCTGACCCCTTATTGTGCTTTTTCTGAATATTCGACAAGACCAAAATTTTTTAGAATGATAATTCCCTAACTTTCCCTTCACCCTTGCACTGCATGCTGTTTGCTAGCAGTGGCAAGAGTAATGTGAAACAGGCAAAAATATCAATGAAATAGTTCACCCCTCTGGACAATGAATAGCACCAGCTGGATATTTTAATGCATGCATGTTCGTATTTGAATTCCTTGTCTTATTACTAATTTCCCTGATATTTCCTGACTTATCCTGGTCATTTCGAAATCTCTGAAATTCCTCGTTTTTGACCACGCAGGTTTTGACGCGTTTTATAACCTGCAGGTAAACTTAGCTGAAAAACTGGTAAAATAAAAAACAACAAATTGAGTAACAAAATATTTTACTTGAAATTCAAAAAGGTCCTAAAACTATATAAATGAGGTGCTTGGCAAAAGAACTTAAATAAAAAGGTACTTTAGTAGTGACTCAACTGGCAGGATTTGACTCTTTCATTCCAGACTGGGAGAGATGTTTAATAATATCCACCCAATTCCAACCTCTAGGCTTCTCACCCTTGTTGTCCACCCGATCCCACATTTTGCGCTTCTGGGCTTTCGATAATTGTTCCTTGGGGACTACAACTTTCTTCACATTCTCAGGTTCGATACTCTGAAACAATCAAAATTAAAACATAAAATGGGCAAAAAGGAGATGGAAAGGAAACTTTACAAAGAAGTGAAAAAGTGAACCATTCCACCTGTGACAACAAAGAAAAATTCTGCAAAAAAGAATGTTTCTTGCCCCTTTTCGAATTACTTTGGCCATCCAGATACTAGGCAAAAATGTTCCTATAGAACTCTTCTTTCTATAAAATTGAGCAAATGACTGGATTTGGATATATTTGCACTGAACTTCCTGTACCTATGTGATAGCTACCCTCAACCTAATCTACTGTTAACCATCTAAAATTCTAATCACAGGAAAATTAGAAGAAAGACAACCGTTCTCCTTAATTACTTCTTAATTTAGCTATTGGAAGTTATTTTTGAGGGAGAAAAATAAATTTTTACATGAGAAAATGATGCTTTTAAGTGCTTTAGTTTAAATTTCATGGAGAATTTTTCTTTCCTGAACTGCATGTTTAGTAAATGTAAGCTTCAGAGTAACCACTGATTAAATACTTTTTTTCAGCATTATTTGTGGCAACTTCTGAATATTTTTTCAAAAAAATTGCGACTGGAACCAAGACATTATTGATAAATTTCGATAGTGACCAAATGCTGAACCTGAGTCCACAATTTCACCTGGGGGAAAAAGCAAGCGCATGGACTCTTAGTATATGTTTATGTTTTAAGTACACCAAAAATTTGACATTACCAATTTTGAAACAGCCTCCTCAATTTTGACAGGTGGGGCTTCTTCCTGAATTGATATGAACTCATCAAACTTTTCTTTCAAACCTTCAAATAATGTGTAAGTCATGGGAGACTCTAGCCATTGTTCTGCCTCTTCATTTAAATATTTTATCACAGCACTTTTCACAGCCGTCGACCTAAAACAGAAAAACAATAAAATTTGAGGAACACTGAATTGGTCTTGTAACAAACTGAAATAGAGGATCCAAATTGAAAAAAAGAATAATATTTAAATCACTCGGTGTATTTTCCGTCAAGAGGGCATAGTTTAAAAAAAGATCCAATTATGGACTACAGAGGCTACTCCTTGTTCCAATGTTTGTGAGATGATATTTAAATTCACTCTAATTCATCTCAGCTGAAAAAGCGTCAATTCATTTTCAAGCAGTGATATGATATATTTAGTGGTCCTCATTTTACATTTGTGAGAACTGGAAACTCTACACTCAAACAAACTAAGAGTAAGGCATAATTGATGGGAGAAAAAAAATGTACCTACCTATTTGCAAATCTTTCAGCAAAATATCGTGTTAACTACATAAAATATGCAACCAATAATACTTGAATTTTTAACCAATTTTTAGATTTTAAACAGCGAACATTTGTACTTTGCACAACACACCAAGTCTTCAGAAACTGCAATTGCACTATTCACAAATAAGACTCCTACGCGGCTAAACTTTTTTCTGCATTCATTACCAGCATGATAACATCTTTTGTGTAGGTGTAGAGTTTCTAGTTCTCAAAAGTCTAAAATAAAGACCGCTTAGTGATCTACAGATCTTGGAGTTTAAACAAAAATTGGCAGAATTTCTCAGCTTTGAATATAAATTTATTTAATTGAGTGATGGGTAGAAGAAATTATTATATTTCTTCCCTTGGAGCTTAATAGCTTCCCACTTATGCAAAAATAAACTAGGTATAATTGGCAATAATGAGATGTTGCGATAGACTTTCACCCTCATGCAAAAAATCAATGCAATTTAGGGGTGGATGGAGATTGAAGCTTATTTTAACTTGTTGTAACTTGTTGTAACTTATTATAACTTACCTATTATAACATAGATGGACTTGGACAAAAACCACCATCAAAATGTCAAATAATGTTGCTTTGGCCCTGATTATTAAATTGCTGATTTCAGAATCATATAGTTGTTCCGGTATCCTGATTTTCGGTTCAAACATGCATCTATTTTAGAGGAGAAAGTAGGGATACTTACAGCTGATTATTGTAGAAAGTATCCATGTTGAAAACAGGTTTTTCTGATGGGTAGTTTTCACCCCAAGAAACTTCCAATAGAAGTGATTTGGAACTGCCATCCTCACCGTACTGAAACAATGAAAGAGAATTATTAAACTGAAGAGAATGACTAATGTTTGCTTTTGTGTATAATGCTTTTGGTAATCCAAGGATTATCCAGATAAGGGAAACAAGTCTTCAAATTAGAAATTTTATTAAAGCAGAAAAACTAACATCTCATTTCTTGAATGAAGTATTAGAGGGTTTAATCAAGGATATTATATAAAAAACAGCACATAATAAAAGGTACAAATCAGCAAATATATTCACTTATGTGTATATGAATCACAAAATGCAGTTGAAATTTGCTCAGCCTTTTCAAAAGTTTTGAACCCTTGACAAATGTTCTTGGTTTTTTTTCCTAATCTCTTGTAGATTTGCTGGTAAAATTTGAGCACTAATCGCTATTTAATTATTGCAAAATCATGGCAGTAGGTACAGCAAAGCGATTGTTCTGTGCTTGATTGCTATGTTCAATTTGGCTCCTCGGTAAACTTGAGCCCCAAGTAATCACATCACTACAATCCTCTTGATGAAAAATATTAAGATCAAATTGCTCCGACTCTTTGTATAAAATAAAGGGATTAGGACTTATTCCTCTTTAGATTAAAAATGAAACCAGGTACCAACCTTATACTGATAGACGGTTGGTGTCACCTGCTTGAAAGCTGCATCGCCATCATAAATTGATAGAAGGACTTCTTTCTCCTCTTCTTGCAGTTCTGAGTTGCTCATTCTCTAAAACTGAAATAAAGAGAAAAAATATATATAAAATTTAACAGATCTATTTAGTGCCCCATAAAAAAAAAATTAAAAAAAAATGAGGTAAAAAAAAATAAAGTTATTTACCTATCTATGGAGTAAAATATTCTAAAACTAATTCTCTTTGATCGCGAAAAACTGTAGGAGCCTAAGTTCCGGACAAGCACTTATGGATTGTAAAATAAATGCTTACAGCCAGAAACGAAGATCTCTTCTCTGGAATTTACTTACTTTAGCTAAAGGAGAGTAATAAAAAAATACTGAACAAACTTGACCCTTCCTGACTATTTTTGACTGCCTTCAATTTTTAATTTGATTATGGTCCCTGCATCACAGGCACTTTCGTGAAAATTGAAAAGTCTTAATTGCACATTCAAGTAATTTTGTGACATATGCTTGTCAAAGGCACTGTGACAAGTGTTACTCTTGGAGTTTAATTTTGAAGGTTTTCAAAAAAATCTTGTTCTCAAAAAGGGTGGAAAATTTCAGAGGAGCATACTCGGATTTTTAAGTATAGGCAGCTAGAAATGCTGAAATTCAAACCTTGCATATCGGAGAAATTAAATCATAGGTTGATTGGTGACACCAATCAAACAGCGCAACATTTTTCTGGATACATACTTACTTAGGATATAATAAACAGTATTCTGACCTCAAAAACTGTTAATATACACTTGAAAAATAACTCCAATTGAGTGGAATATCAATTTAGGTAGAGACAACCAACAAAATTGAAAGGCTTGGATTCACATTTAGCTCGATTATTCTTGTCACAACTGATACCTGGCCAACAGATGGAGAAATTTCATGTACCTACACTTTTCATAACGAGGAAGCTGTGGAGCAAACTGCTTCAATGTTCCATGGACAGTTGATAACTTAACTTGAACTACAATCTCTGCTAATACTGCTGATTTGCTGCTTGGACATAAAATGTTATGCACACACCCGTGAGAAACAGGCCTAATGAAAGCGCCAGGAACACTCTGATATCCTTTGAAAGTAAACTGTGGAAAGAATATCCTTTAATTTGGAAAAATTTAGACTGATGAAAAGTACACCTACTTGAAATAAGAAGATAATACTGATTCAGGATCATGGAGCAGCGTATGAAGTTAGGACACTATTTGCAAGAGGGCAATTCGGACTCTATAAACTAGTTGAATGAGGCTTATCCTGGTAAACTACGGTTGAAATCATGGTGAATGTATTAAGAACAGAAGATAACCACAAAATCGGTGGAGATATTTTGATAAATTAATTACTTATTTATTAATAATTAATGAAGAATGGAAGAATACCATATCTACACCATAGACTACCATAAACACAAAACAACCACATAACAACAAACTGACTTAACCTCAAAATCTGTCATAAACAAAGTATAACAACTGTTGCAAATCAATTACTTGCGTACACTAACTAGTGTACACTAAATTGACTGATAATTATTTTTCTAATAATTATGTATTTGCTCATCGATACTGAGAAAGTAATGATAGTTTCCAAACATTAATTTTTCATTACTATTATTTAGCTGCCGAATGGAAAAAATGAAAATATTTATTAATTGATTAAATCTCATTGTCATCCACAAGCAGTTGTTACAACTGTTTATGGACAGATAACCTAAAAAAATCAAATAAAAAATTCAGGATGTTGACCAAATGTTGACGTAATTTCCAGATTTCCTTTTCCTCGAAGTTCTCAGTCAGTTGCCGAAATTTTCCCCCACGAATTTTGCCAAATTATGGTGTGTGCTGAAGTGAAAAATTGTTGAAATTTGTAGTGCCGTACTTGTGAAGTGACAATGGACGAAGAAATAATACATCCTGAATCTCTGGAGGAAACTACTCCTCCAGTGATCCTGAGTGCCTGGTCTCAAGGTGAGGGGTAAAAGCACATTTCCTGCATTTAGGTATCTCGTTACTTTTATTCCTCACTCTCCTCTCAATTAGTAATTTTTAAATTTTTTATCACCGAAGTCCTCACGATCCAAAGAGACGAGAAACTTCATCTGTCAAGCAAGCGCAAAGGTTCAAGTTCTAGAAACGTTCGTCTTAGCAGGCAAAGGTTGGGTCTTACACATTTCCTTATTCAAATTCAGAGGTGCCTCCGAAGTTAGGAGCATCTCTCTCAGACGGGACTCAGTTATAATTGTTTATCTCCAGAAGGCGTAACACTTAACTCCTTACTTACACCACATCTTGCAAAATTGTCACCAACATTATTTAGTACCTCTAATGATCTAGGCACCAAGCAAGAAAAGCCAACATTCTGGAACAGTTATTTTAAACACAATAACATTAACAGAAAGTTCCAGGTGTCTGAAGAATGGTAGGTAATTTGATTGAAAGAAACATTGAATTTCAGAATTATCAGGTATTGACTTGAGGAAATTCCTAAAATGTGAACCAACTATGCTGAGGATATCGGAAAAGAATAACATTTCACCTTGTAATTTGGCTACAGGATAGCATTAAAGATAGAAATTCATCAATTTTTATCAGAAAAGCTGAATTACCATATTCGGTCCTACTTTACTAGCAGTCCTGACACTCCTAAGTACCTTTACCTCTAATCATCAAATATGTATTTGACCTTGACCTTTTTCACATACTCATTTGGACTACATTTTGCAATTAGGAACTAAAAATTCTAGCCCGATTTAAAAACAACGTATGTGCCATTAGCTTCCCTATGCCCACAAGTGTTTTTTCAGAAGAGCCAGAATTTATAGTTCCAAATTGCAAAATGCAGTCCATTTGTTCCATTGAAGTTGCATTATGAGGTAGTCAAAGTAAACCTCTTTGTATGTATTTTCTCCAGTACTGAAACATCACTGAAATACTAAGTTTCTCGTTTTACAATGAAAAAGTAAGCAAATCATATAGGTGTATCTACTAGCTAGCTACTATGCAAAGATTATCTTACCAAATGATTCTCATATTTAGCCAGCACTCAATTCTCTGGTCCTCCTTGCTGGGTCTTTTCTAAAAACTTTTCATGTTCAATATCTCCCAAAGGAAAGAAAAAAAAAATAGAAAAAAAAAGCAGTCAAAAGCTTGCAGCAAAAATGAAATGTGAAAGTGATTACTTAAAATAAAAGTGAATAGAGTCAACCCATAGAATAAAAATTAAACCAGTACTTCTCTGAACACCTGACCCTGTTTTCTGGGCAGATTTTGGTGGATTGGATCATTTTACTCTCTCACTTAATTACCTCAGAATTTTCAGTTTTTGTGGCTTCCGATGTCATAGGTAGTAGCTTGTTTGATTAAAACCAGCCCAGCATTTGAACATTTTTCTTTTCCCCTTTGGCAGGAACTGAATTCTTGGCCCAGTATGGATGGTACTTGGTTGGACTGGGAATGATCGCTGCGTATGGTTGGACAAAACTTAGCCCATACGTTAATCAGCTGAGAAAGAAGCAGGAGGAAGCTGCCTATGAAGCTAAGTACAAGAAGAATCCTGATATCTCGAAAGCACGATTGGCAGCGCTAGAAGCCTCCAGGAAGAAGATGCAAGAGGAGTACGAAAAAAAGGCAGCCGAGTGGGCAGAGAAAATGAAGGAGGTGCGTTAATGATCCTGAGTTGTTAGCAGTACCTACAGCTTACAAATGATTTCATTCAGCTTTCAATAAGACAAAAATTAGCTAGCTTTGCCGCTCAATTTTCATTTTCTGTCCTCTCCAGACTCTGCCGGGCCAATGTCCTTTATCTTTTGGCTCTAGGCAAAGAAAAATGGTTAAAACCTGCTATCTTCAAATTTTTGAAGTATAACCCGCGCTTTGTATTGCTAGCAAGTGACTTTCTGAGAGAATGGAGTCGTTAGGTTTCAGGAGGTTAGGCTGCCCAGCAGGTAAGGAAACCCCCTATTTCATACCGGCAAACAACGAGAAGAAAAAGAAAAGCATATTAACAAAGTAGATACATACTAGTGATGAGTGTGGTCTCCTAGAATGAAAGGGCATACTCACACCAAGAAATCTATCTTAGAAAATACCAATGGTTTGTTTATGTACATATTTCATGTGTTTCCAAATGGACTATCCAAATTTAATGGTTCCATAGATGCAGCAATCTATAAATGCATTGGATGGCAAGTCTTTTTTGATTGGTCCATGGCAAGATCAACAGGCAGGTGCCTGCTTTTATTATTTTATTCTAGGCTATCCTCATGGTGAGTTCTGAGACAATGGACACTTATCCGGATTTGTGAGTTACTAACTTCCTGCTTCATGCTGTCATTCTCATGAAGGACCCATCAAAGTTATTGCACAAAATGCTGTATGATTTTTCTCAGTCCTATAGAAATTATTCTCTCAAACTTTTATACCTACAAAAAAATTTAGTAATAATCTCTTGGGAAGAGAAGTATCTGAAAGGACATTTTTAAACTCTACCATTGATATATGGACGGAGTTAAACAGAAAGGAACCAAGCCACATCGGGATCGAACCGAGAAAAAGAGGTGTAAAGTTTGGCTCCTGCATAAGACTCAATGTAAAAGATAAACTTCAAGTTCAATTTCTGCAAAATTTGCTCCAACAAAAACTTTGAATTTTTGGCGATAGATAGTAGAGCAGTGGTCGAGTTCAAAACCACTCGTAACTCAATTTTTTCCAAAATGTGGGTTGGTTCCTTTCTCCTTAACGCAGTCCATATGTGCTTACATCATCAATATTTCCTACTTGCAACTCTGGAATGCCTCGAACTTTGGAGGGCTTTCAAGCTCTTAAAGTCTTTCAAAAGCTTTTCTTCAGCAGATTTTTATTTTTTCATGAATTTGAGAACTACATGTCCCAAAGTGTCCTCAATTCTAGATACTTCTTTAATTTTATGATCGCTTTTCCTGCATTTTATAAGTTTTATTTTCAGATCATGAGTCAAGGAGCCCACTTTTTCATCTTTTTAAAATTTTCCATTTTCAGAAAGAAGAAAAGAAGAAACAAGAAGAATTAGAAAAAAATAAAGATGTTCCTGTCGGCCGCACCCTAGGTGAAAGCTCAAAGTCCACCAAATCGCAGTTTAGACCAGGTATACCTGAAGGTTGTATTATGTTTAACTGACCAACAAGAATGTTTTGAAGACTCAGCAACTTAAGGTTTAAGTTGTCAATATTTTCCTGGTATTTGATTTTCTAAGTTCTGACTCTGCACTGTTATCTCAGGCTTTTCCCTGTGCTGTTCATTTAGAGACAGCAAAGCCAACAGCATATGATCTCTTTTCTAGATCAGTGCTAAAGGAGTCCTGAGGACTGATATTCTAAAATTGATTTTGAGAAGTACAATCCAGATCTACACATTTCCTGTCTTAATTCTTCAAGGTGTAAAATGAGCAAATCATGGGACAGACCTACATATTTACAATGCTCCAAAGTGACATAGACAGCATCCATTATTCAAAAAGTAAGCAATGTATCAAGCTTATCTTTAAATTATTTGAAAGGAGTTGTAAAAAGCAATTTTTACTTTCTCGCTCCCATAGGGTAGAGAGGAAGTATTTTTTTTTCTCTTGTGGAGATAAAAAATCTGCAAACCAATACCAAACTTTAACCGACTATCACCAACCTCATAAAGTGTCACCAACCTGTTAAAGCAATGGAATGAAACCAATGAAAAAAAATTTGGTCAAGTTATGGTAATTCGAGTCTATGGGGTTCATCACAAACACCTACAGGTTTTTTCAACAATTTACTTGGAACGTGCTGCTATAAATTCTCTGATGTTCTTTAGCTGACAAATACTAAATACATTCCAATAGATGTTGCCAAGTAGTACTTTTAGACAAAAGAACAACAGAAAAGTTTTATTGGCACTTTTTGGTAAGAGTGAATCATTGAAATTAAAAACCTTAACAGTTGTCGTACACTCAAAGTTTGAACTACCTTATCTTGGCTATTATCTCTTCAAATAAGCTAATCTTCGTCTTTTTTTTTATTTACAATCTAATGAAACTGACATTTAATTTAAAGGTTGGTATGATATCATAAAGTTCCAATGATTGACCTGCAGGAAGAGTCTAACAAACAATAAGCTTTACGGTCCAACTTATGTTTGTTTCAGAATATTTTCCCCTTGCTGGAACTGGAGGCGCTGGGTACAGACCACCCAGGAGGAGCTGCTGTCCAGGCAGTGGCTGCGGATAAAACCTGGACATCAGTATTTGCAATATTGGAATGTTCGGAAGATGATTGTGTGAGTGCATGTAAATGATGCTTGATTTTTAAAGACCAACCGTTAAAAAAGTTTTAATTTTGTTGAAATTTTTTGTTGAGGCATTCAAATGATGCCTCTTAATTGATTAGATTACATTTACCTAATCCTTTGGTTTTATGATCTTATTCCATATCCTATTATGTTTTAATCAAATGTAAGTGCATAATTTTAATTTATTAAGATGTTTTGATTTATAATTTAATAAATTTTTAAGTCTCAATTGCTTTATCAGCTTTTTCTTAGCGCTTACCTCTTTTCCTTGCATCTTAAGAATTCCAAGACCGAGAGCAGAACTGTGGGTGACCTGGCCCTCAGCAGATATCTCCTTCCCCTCCCCCCTCCCCTTTCAGAAGTTGACTTTACCTCCTTCAAAAAGTTCAATGGATTTTGCAAAATAAGTGTGTGATATTTCTGACATATTGAAGTTGTACCTCAATAAATTTTATTGTATTTTCTAAAGAGAGCACACTATTTTCGGTAAAAACAGATCAAAATTTCTTACCTGAGATGTTTCAATTCTCAAGTTTTATCCAAGGACCCCCCCCCCCCTGAAAACTCCCCTGTAAAGCTGAAGAGGTCCTTTCAGACCTTTCTAATGGCTCCGCTGTGTCCCATTCTCTCCCTCACATAAAATTCCCAGCTCTATCCATGTTTAAGACTGTAATCTGGAAATCTTGTGAGATATTGTGCCTCTATTTACCGTATTTACCCGCTTATCATAAGCATTTTTTTCTTAAAGTTTCGGCTCTCAAATCAAGGGTGCATACGTTATGCGAGTAATTACAGTATTCCTATCAATTTGATCTTAAGACTTCAAGTTTTGCATAATACATTACATTGAGGAGCTTATAAGTCAAAAAAAGGATTGATATATCTTACCTAATGATAGGGTAGGATGGGGTCAGTCCGCCACTTTTTTGCCCCAAGATTTTTCATGAGTTCCCTAATTGATGGATGAACTTGTTTGAATGCTAGGAGTGATCTTTGGACCTTTGACTATGCACAAAAAAAATTGGATACTTTAGGTGCATTTTCCCCCCCTTTTTTGAACTTTTTTTTTTTAAAAAAGAAAGTGGCGGAGTGACCCCACGAGTAGGGTCAGTCCGCCACATTCTTAGGGTCAGTCCGCCAGTAGCAAATGAAGACATGAGAAGTGCTGGAAAAAACAATTTAATTAAGAAAAATGAAGGAAAACAAACATATCTGAACTCAGAACTTCAGTCAGTACAAAAAAGTCTATAACTATAAGAACGAAAAGTTAATTTTAAGGGTCTAATAAATTTCAAAATTTGAATTTTTTTTTTTTAAAAAAAAAGTTAAAATATTAATAAAAAGTCGGTGGTTTTGAAATTGAACTACATACATATAAAGGACTAGCCAGTGTAGCAGCACCTAAACCTAAAAAGGGGTCACTTAGCCAGTAGCAGAATGACCCTCGGCGTCACTGGCGGAATGACCCCATCCCGGCTTCGCTGCACAAAATTGTTACCTGACATGACAAAAGTAAAGATATTTCAAAGATCAAAAACGGAATCAATAGCCTTGAGTGAGTAGTTTACGATGATGTACTTCCCAAATTTCGATCACCAAACCACCAAAGTCCAGACGAAAAGTTCCAAAAAAGAAAAAAGTTACGATCGGGAGCAATTTTAACACTTGCGCCTGTAGGTTAGTTGTAAACAAATGAATCATGCCTGGAACAACATATAGGAGACGAGCACTTCCAACTGCTTACTCCCATGCTTTGAATTTCCCAATTCGACCACCGCTAGGGGCGCTACGGTCGACTGGCGGACTGACCCACCCTGGCGGACTGACCCCATCCTACCCTACCTCTATCACTTATGGATATATAATCATTTATACTCTTTATTTTCAAAGTTGGAATATGAACTTACTTACAAGACTTCAACTTTAAAAAGTAGATAACGTTTGACACACATCTGCATTTATTTAAAATTTTTAAAAAAAAATTAACAAAATCTCAAGATTAGAAAAAGAAATAATGAGTACACATTCTAGGTAAAATTGAGGAAATCCGTCACATATACGTGAAAGATGGGTTAAAACATCTGGAGCCTCCAATTTTTTGTTAAAGCGGTGTTTTTACTGCCTGCATTATCTTACAAATATTTTTAAAGAAGGAGCTATTGTGAAAAATAGTACATATTCACAAAATAAAAATATCATTGATTTGATTCATAATGTGAATTGTATTCAGAATACACATTTACAATTTTGAATGGAACTATCAGTTGACTCTAGTTTTGGTTAAAGCCATTAAACATTAAAACCCAGTAACTTCTTCTCTGACAATACTTCAGTTTTCAAAACAACTGTAAGCTAGTCTTATCTTAGTTGAAGGATTTATCACAGTCATGGTTTAGGCAGAGAAGTTAAAATTTATTATGTCTTGATACCTAGAAAATCAGATGCTAGTAAGTAGACTTCAGTTGAATCAGAACGACTAGCTTTCGGTTTGACACGCCTCACATTCTTATAGAACCTTTGTAAATCAGTTTCTACAGCAGAAGTTTTGTTTCCATCCCACAACTTGACCAGACAGATGCCACCAGGTTTTGTGACAGGAAGTGCAAATCTGTGTGATAGAAGGTCAAAATTAGGACACTGTACAATTCATGCATTTTCAAAACTTACAAATAGTGCATCATCGTGCTCCAAATAGACCATTGTGGGTCTAACACACAAAAAAACTTCTAAAACATTGAAGGATTGCTGGAGCATTTACTTCAAAACCAAGGGGTACAGTAGGGTGTTCCGTTTTTAGACAACCATCTCAAAACCTTGCTCCCCGGGCTTTTTCCCATTCCTTTTGGTCCCCAAAAGATAATTCTGAAGTTTCAGCACCATAGCTGAAGTCTACACTTTCCCCCAGAGCGATGCAAATTTTGGAAGAAATTACATTGGTTTAAATGGGGAGAAAATAGGCAAATTCCCGGAACTACGTTTTTCGGTTGTAAAATGCGCCGAAATGATTTCAGACCTGACCATCTCTTGGAAAGTGATCCAGAGGCCTATTTTGAACGAGAAAATTCCACTTTTGACCCAAAGAGGGGGGAGGGGGGGTCAGGGCGCAGTTAGTTTTGAGGCGCTGCGCGCAGCAAAATGCTCGCATTTGACAGTTTTTTATCAACCTCAGAACAGGTCCTCCGAAGCTGAGGAGGCTAATGTATCTCATAAATTGTAATAAAATAATGTAAAAGAGTTGTTTTCATCCCTTCAGAACTATTTTCGACCATTTACACTGTTGCCAAATTTACTCGAACCTGGAAGGGAATTAGTGTATATCATCTTCTTCACTTGAGTGATTTTGGCAACAGTGTAAATGGTCGAAAATAGTTCTGAAGGGATGAAAACAACTCTTTTACATTATTTTATTACAATTTATGAGATACATTAGCCTCCTCAGCTTCGGAGGACCTGTTCTGAGGTTGATCAAAAACTGTCAAATGCGAGCATTTTGCTGCGCGCAGCGCCTCAAAACTAACTGCGCCCTGACCCCCCCTCCCCCCTCTTTGGGTCAAAAGTGGAATTTTCTCGTTCAAAATAGGCCTCTGGATCACTTTCCAAGAGATGGTCAGGTCTGAAATCATTTCGGCGCATTTTACAACCGAAAAACGTAGTTCCGGGAATTTGCCTATTTTCTCCCCATTTAAACCAATGTAATTTCTTCCAAAATTTGCATCGCTTTGGGGGAAAGTGTAGACTTCAGCTATGGTGCTGAAACTTCAGAATTATCTTTTGGGGACCAAAAGGAATGGGAAAAAGCCCGGGGAGCAAGGTTTTGAGATGGTTGTCTAAAAACGGAACACCCTAGGGTACAGCATTTTTTTCATCTTGTTTTGTACCTCAATTGAGCGCTCTCTTTTGATTGTCAGCTATGGACTCATTTCATAGCAGGATGATGAAAATCGACGGTGTAAAATGGCAATCATATATCCCGTGTTCGGTGTCTATATAATTCCCGCCTCTATGTTATTTTTTTAAAGAATAAATTGACATCATTTCTTGAAGTCTTAGCAAAATTTTCTTCGCACAGAGAAGAAAAATCACGGCAGTTTTAAAGAATTGCCATTGAGTGGTTTTCCGTTAGAAAAATAAAGTGTGATGTCGCAAAGCGAGTTATGTGATTGCCAACTTACAACGTCGAAATGCGGGTCACTATGACTTTTTGACCCAGCGCTACCAACAAAAAAACAGTCATTAAGACAGACTTGTCAGTGAATGTGTTAATTAATGATTATTATAGTGTCCTGATAGACTTAGCAAAATTGGTCCCATAATTGGGAAATAGGTAGTCAAAAAAAGATTCAGAGGAACATCAGAATTTTTCCTTAGAATTCTGTAGACATTTTTAATCAAATGAAATTTTCATCGGAAAAAGTAAGTACATAATCACGAACCTTATAACAGTATAGACCAACTTGATTATTAAATCGTGGTTCACGTCTTTGAGGCCGGTTACATTAGGAGCAATATCACTCATTACAATGTCAACTTTTTCATTTTGGAGAGCTTCCTTCACGGCAGTTTGGGTCTCTTTTGTGGTGAAATCTGAGAGAGGAAATATTATTGCACCATCTACAGGATGGAATGGCAATCTATCAATCGATAAAACCTTCCCTTTTGGTGCTCTTGAATCTGAAAAAGCCAAACAGCAGGTCATGAGAGAAAATTGCAAATGGCATAATGGTGACAGATGTGCTTTTTAGTAAACATTAACGTTAGGAGGAGGCAATGTAAGATGCCCACCCCATGTTCCCAAATCACTGTCAGTAACTCATCTTTGAACTGGCGTCAAAAATTACGAGACAGTTTGAAACAGAGCTTAAATACTTAGGTACATATTTCTGACACAATTTCTGGAACTATGAGATCATAACTTGTGTACAGTTCCATCATTATATTATCTAATATTCACTTGTCAGTCTCCAGCGTCTACCTATCACCATCTAAAACTGAACATAATAAGAACGCTATCAAGCACCGGTATCTGACTCAGTTGTTAATACAAGTTGAATTTTACAAGAATGACAGCATGGGACAATGAATAAGAGGGAACCATTCTTAAATCCTTTTTCTAGGGTTGTCAATATCTACTTAACCGATACTTCCAAAGTATCGATACTTTTGATCGATACTCATCGATACTTGGCATCGATACTTAACGAAATCGATCCTCAGACCCCAGTATCGATGGTATCGATACTTAATTTAATTTGGTCAGAAAGAAGGCCTCTTTTTCTTTTTTAACAACTTCACTCTCTTCTATTTCACCTTCACTATGCACTGTGACAAACGACGGAGTAATCAGGTTTCTCAAGATGATTACTTTCGTTAAAAATGTTAAAAGCTCGGTTCGTTAACAGTAGTAAAGGGCTCCTAATAGTTGACTAAGCATGCTAATAAGGGCGGTTTCGAGAGAGGCGTAAATCTGACGGAACATGACGGCCGACAGACGTACGCACACTCGGAATTATGGCATAATTCAGAAATAGTATCGATACCTTAAAAGTATCGATACTTCAGCTCGATGCTCGATATCGGTGTTTAGAGTCGATACCAGTATCGATACCGAGTATCGATACTTCCCCGAGTATCGACATCCCTACCTCTTTCTTTGGAAACTTTGAGGCATGGTAAATTTCATGTACAACAGGGGGAAAAGAACGAAAGATGGTTAAGGTCATTGGAAAACAGTCTTAAATCAAAAGCATGAACTCTAACAAATGACTCCATATGGAAAATGAGAAATTTTTACCAGATAACATTTCCCCACGTTTTGGGAGGATAATACCCCTGCAGTTTGGTGGGGAAAAAATCAGTGTTCATAGATTTCACTTGAAAGAATCAACCGGATGATGTGAGATTAAGTTACCTATACTATTACCTTTTCCATTTGCATTAACCTTTGTAACAGCAACTTGGGTCCAACTACCAGGGGCTGCACCACAGTCAATTACAGTTTTTCCAGGAGTAAGGAATTTAAATCTTTCATCCATTTCAAGAAGTTTGAAAGCACTGCGACAGCTAAAAAGAAAACCCAAAATGCCAGAAATTAAAAAAAAAAAAAAAAAAAAAAAAAAAAAAACTCCATCTTAAACTTGGAATGTTTTAAATGCATGCTACACAGATTCAGCTCTTGAAGAACAAAAGGTAAGTAGGTAAGTAAGAAATTTTCTTTTTCCAAATCACCTGAAGTAATTAAAAATGTTTCACTGATACTATCACTAGAAATAAGCATCACTAAAATAGTGATTTCATACGCAGTTTTTACAGCTATAAATCTTAAAATACCTTGATTATTTGTCCAATTATATCGCAATGAATTACTGTCAATAAAACCACAAAAATCTACCAATGGTATATTTACTGATTGAGCCACATCATAAGTGTTTCTAATGCAGTAGAAACAATTTGATGTACCAGTTCTGAAGAGTTGTGCCTTTAACATCCTGCAACATTTGCGCCAAGATATCTGGCCTCATGAGAGCATGAATATTCTGGAATCAGAATCCCGATAATTGGGCTGAGAGATATTGTTAAAAGACATGCTTTAACACTCTCTAAAACAGGTCTTTAGGTCATTACGGCTTTTATCAAAGCATGATGTAATCATTAGAAACTCTCATTTTTTACAATAGAAATTTACCGTTTCAAACTTGAAAAAATTAAGTCTTTAAGAGCTACCTCATGGATGAACTTAAAGTCACAATTAAAATGAAAAAAAAATCCGATTACTTACCGATAATTTTCCATCTTGGCTCTCCGAACATAGGGATCTGAATGCTGACGATTCAACCATTCTGCCGAGTTCTTCCAGCGACATTGTAAAAATTGTGAACATTTGGCAGATAAATTAGATGAAAATCGTGTCCTTGAATGGTTCAATATTACCATAGTCATTTTGCATTGCAAGTCAAGAGCATACACATTGAAGTTCACACTCGAGAAACATCAATGAAGTATATTAATTGTTGATGCCAATACAGGTGCCAGCCTTGATGTACTAAACTATGACTACCTATGAAGACTTGCATGGAAATGACTCTGCAATTTAAAAAAAAAAAAAAAAAATGAATGAGAAACTGTTGGCACAAAAATAAGGCTGGGGAATACAAACAGTCAATAAAATTTGTTTACTTTCAATGATCAGGAACTATGTCGAACATGTTTTAAAAGGTAGTAGGATGTATATTTCTATGGGCGATAATGGAAGATGGAAACAACCTTTTTCTACATACTTTCTACGTAACACATATGAGTGTGTTGATCCGACACATAGGCAGTGTAAGGATGATGTCTCTACTTCGACGGTGTGAGTCGGCAATCACATTACTCTGTTTGCAACGTCGCAGACTTCCTGTCATACTTTATTTTTTAAACTGAACAGTACTCAATGGCAATTCTTTAAAACTGCCGTGATTTTCCTTCTCTGTGCAAAGAAAATTCTGCATAAACTTCAAGGAATGATGTCAATTAGTTCTCATTTAAAAAAATAACATAGAACTGGAGATTTTCAGACACTGCAAACAAGATATATGATTGCGAACTTACATTGTCGACTTGTAACAAGCAATAAATTCATTCATAAAATCAGAGACTTAAAAAACCACAGAATAGCCTCGCGTTGCTAACAGGGACTTGTTCTATAGGATTAGACTGAGGAGCTATTCCTAATCACAAGAAACACATACTTGTTTATGAGCTGATCCGCATTGTTACTTGGGGAACATCATTGGCATATACATTGATCGTTAATGCCAAAAAAGTCCAAAATTGCTGATGCCTAGGGTATTCCGGTGTACTACTTACCCTAATTAACTACATCATGATGATGAAAACTTGTATGAAAATGAAATTGTTATGGTCGTTGCAAAAAAATGCAGAAAAGTTTGTTAAATCAGAGGCGTAAGTAAGTAGTAGTGCCTTAGTATTAGACCTCACACTGATTAAGAAACTCTAAGTATTTGAACTGAATGCAAGGAGAATAAAAAAAGAAAATGTACAGAGAAAACGAAAAACAATTGGTAAGTGCCGAGGTACCAAGAGCGAACGGCCGCTACAATTAATTTGCTATAATAACTAACTATTACGATTGATAAGGAAAAATTATCACTAAAGCAACATAACCTAAAGACAACAAAAACAAAAACACGTGATAAATGTTTAAAATATATAAGAAACAGCCACTGTTGTCAAATTTGGCAAATTGGCATCACGACACTATACGTCATTACTCATTACTCTCGACTCTAATTACAATTACAATCTGTATTGTTTATTCTATTCATCAATACTTATTCTTATTTCGTCATCGTATATTAATTATTTAATCGTCCACAGAACATAAAATCGCAGGCGCTCAGATATGCAAAGCAAAATATATAATATAATAGTTTTGACTGCTTTCATGGACCGGTCTCTTTTTGACTCTTTTGACTGTTTACGTTTACCTGTAATTCCTCGTCTCTGGTCTCTCTGAAAATGATCAGAATACCCTCCTGAAGCGAGAACAGAATTCCTTCGAAAAATTCCGCGTATCATGGAAAAGCGTTCTACGATTCACAATTTTGTTCTCCAAATTTTATCCTAGTTTGCGTGTGATGTGACGGTATAGTCCTACTAGTCTGCCAAAAAAAAAAAAAAAAAAAAAAAAAAAAAAAAAAAAAAAAAAAAAAAACTCTGAACATAAATAAATAATTAAAGCTCAATCCATTGTCAGTCATAATTAATTTTAGTGGTCGGAAGCGGTTTCGTGAGGTTTTCTTCAAAACATGACCAAAAATAGTAATGATAATGCTAGCAGGTGTTAGTAAGTTGATCACATGACTTCGTACTCATGCAGGTGGTTCGTCGAAATCTTCGCCGTATCTGGGCCATTCCCCATTCATTATTCACAAAGATGAATGAATCACCCACCTCAGTAGAATGGCTGTTTTACTCAAAAATGTTTCCAACAGCATTTGGCATGCTTTTAGTGCTTTACAAAATGATAAAAGTGGTATAGTTCTCAAGTCAAAACTGAAGGTAAGCCGTTGATTTTCTAATTTCAGTGTACTCAATCCTCAAGTTGAAAAACCTAACCTGTTGATTGCTTATCAGTACTCAACCACTTGACACATTTGTTCCTGCATCATTTTTAGCTTGTATCTCCATAGTTTTCATTATCTTTTTGTGCTCTCTGTGAGTGCTCTAGCTTAAAATAATAATCTCACTTGAGAATCTACTCCTAATGATGCGTCTGTGTTTCGTGCTATGCCAATCATGACGGCAGAAACACGCATCCGTACATACTACATGAGATTTTATTGATTCATACTCACCCACTGTGTTATCCTCCAGATATAAAAGTGTGCGTCCCACAGTTGATGTCTGTGAGGATTTTTCACATTACTTGTTTGGCCATTTGCTGTCCAGATTGTTTAAACGGAAGTTAGGGAGTTGCTTCCTCAGTTTCGATCAGACGGGTCAAGATGTACCATTGCCTCATCATTGACAGAAGAAAGTCAAGATAGTTCCTCTTACACGAGAAAAAATTAGGCTTGTTCATCGCCTTTTGTGCCTTGATAAGTTAAGTACTGCAGAAGATAGTTTTACAGATAGGTACTTGTTGATACACAGAATGAAAATTTTCTTCCCACTCTACAATTATTTCACCCTGTTTTTCACTGTAGGTCATTCACGCACCAACTACATAAGTATTTTAAAAGCGGTTCTCTAGTTTAGAAAGTATCTCCTCTGGATTTATCACAAATTTTTTTTATCCCACTTTATTTTTTCAAAGATAATAGAGCGATCTTTAATGCTTGAAATTCTAATTCTTAAAATGCAGAAGAATTTGCCAGGAAATTCAGGAGAGACTACATTATGTCACTTATAAACTGAAGATAAAATAAGTTGGTAGGTATGCTGGGAATTTTACTAAATCACACAAGCTGGCAGTACATGATTCCTAAGTTGCCTTCCTTTAGACACAATAATAATTATTTTTCAGCTAAAATTGAAACTACCTTTTTTTTCTCTTTTAGGTTTTGACAGCAAACTTGGGAACGCTCTTGGATGTTTATGGCGTTGAGAAAGGCTTAGAGCATTTTCGAAGCACTCCTACTCTAAATTTTGAACATTTCAAGTACTATCTTCTCAAAGAGGTCAGTAACATAATTTTAAAAAACCACGAAACATCTTATTGGACCAATGCCAATGACTGGAACCTAAAAGTTGATTCCTTTTTTGTGTATTTTTCTCATGCAGAGATTATTACCTTAGGTTCACCTCATAATTTTACTGCCCAGGAGGCACTAAGCTCTTAGATAATAATGCAGGAAACTTTGCGAGAAGCAAGATCGGGACAGAAGTCAGAGTTCTCATTAATTTTTGAGCAACCATATTCAATCAACTTTTTCTGTGTGGTGCCAAGTGAAATTTGAAAACTGGATTGAACACTTCAGAGTGATTTACAGTCTAAAACTCAGTTTTAGCTCTGTAGTCTTTTTTGAAGCCTACACAAACACAACTGCAGAAGAAGTGCATTGAAATTTTAACAATTTTGAATTCACTATAAATTTGCCCCTTCACACCTAATTACTTTGTGAAATTGAGTTTTAAGCCACCATAATGACAATAAAACTAATGAACCATAATAAAATTTCCTGCATCAAGAATGATTCTAACTAGAAATTATATTATCGCCCACCTACTTGAATAGTAATAATGCTGAATGATTCAGGAAAAGCCTGATTCCTGTATGAACTGTCCAAGTACCTGCTTTTATTTTACAGCACGTTAGCATGGATGTATCAGATTTTTTAAATATCTTCAAAAAAAATTTTAATCCTTCAAATCAAGTCTTTGTCTTTTCATCAGGTATTCTCCTCACTCCCAGAGACAACTCCACTTATAATCCTTCGAGATCTAGAAGCTCGCATCGATGAAGTATGCTGGTTAGTTTGCAAGAAAGCATATTTAGAGCGAGACAATGCCATCTTACCGGAAGATTGTGTCTACGAGCTGTTTCGAGTTTTCTGCCTTCTAGCTGATCTGGTGCCAGATCATTCAAATCCTAATGTATATCAGGTAACTTTAAAATATTATGAAAATAAAATTAGCATCGACCCAACTACGGAGAGTTTCTCCCCAGAAACTTTGTGGTCATATTTAGCTGCCCAATACCAGCATCCTTAATATTATTTAAGCAACTCAGAAATCTCCTCTTTTTAGAGGTGGCGACAGCCTTTTGTATTAAAATAGAGCTGCATCAAGTTTATAAGGAAGTCATTCTTTGTAGATATGATATGAAGTTTTGTAAAGCTCCCTAAATTTTACAACTTGTTCATTTTTTGTCGCTGAACAGTGTAGAGGCAGTAGGTGCTGGAATTGTTTCACGCAAATTCTACTGTATATTCACTCATTTTTTGGTGGGAAAAACTTAACACATGTTTGTCTAGTTTGGTACAAATTATAATTCAAAATATTCAATCCGAGACGCATTTCAAAACTTATTTTCTGTTTCTCTTGGGAATGGTTTAGTATCCTTTTTTTTTGTTAATACTAGTGAACCTGTAAAAAAAGTATCACCATTGCAACACATCAAAGTTTCTACTCCCTTTTTGTTTGTTTTTTTTTTTAAGAGAATATCAATATTTTTGTACAAAATTTTCCAAAAACACTTTTGAAAAGCAAAGAATTATTTCATTGGTGCAGTAAAGTCACCCTTCAAACTGCATGATGTTGCAGGGAATTTTCTGTGTCTCAAATGGATGTACATAGGCTGTCCCAAAACAACTGGCACTAAGGTTGTCATTCGGGAACTACAATAGATATCGACATGCGGTTTGCGGGAGGTGATAGCTCATACTCTTAGCTCTTAAACGAGCCTAAGTTGAGCTAGTTTGGTTAAAAACTCAACGAGTTACATCAATTTTCCCGAGACGTGTAAGAAATACCCCTACGGATTTTTCGGTAATTTTTCATTCCATTAACTTTGCCTCCGCAAGCTTTGCACGTGGTTCAGACGTTATGAACCAAGTTTCCACTTGTCTGGATGCAAGTTTGAACTTTCCAGCAAGTGTTTCCATCACAGCCGAGAAGTTTTTTTCGGTTTGCAAAGTCCATTTANATTTTACTAAATCACACAAGCTGGCAGTACATGATTCCTAAGTTGCCTTCCTTTAGACACAATAATAATTATTTTTCAGCTAAAATTGAAACTACCTTTTTTTTCTCTTTTAGGTTTTGACAGCAAACTTGGGAACGCTCTTGGATGTTTATGGCGTTGAGAAAGGCTTAGAGCATTTTCGAAGCACTCCTACTCTAAATTTTGAACATTTCAAGTACTATCTTCTCAAAGAGGTCAGTAACATAATTTTAAAAAACCACGAAACATCTTATTGGACCAATGCCAATGACTAGAACCTAAAAGTTAATTCCTTTTTTGCGTATTTTTCTCATGCAGAGATTATTACCTTAAGTTCACCTCATAATTTTACTGCCCAGGAGGCACTAAGCTCTTGGATAATAATGCAGGAAACTTTGCGAGAAGCAAGATCGCGACAGAAGTCAGAGTTCTCATTAATTTTTGAGCAACCATATTCAAGCAACTTTTTCTGTGCCGTGCCAAGTGAAATTTGAAAACTAGATTGAACACTTCAGAGTGATTTACAGTCTAAAAATCAGTTTTAGCTCTGTAGTCTTTTTTGAAGCCTACACAAACACAACTTCAGAAGATGGGCATTGAAATTTTAATCATTTTGAATTCACTAAAAATTTGCCCCTTCACACCTAATTACTTTGTGAAATTGAGTTTTAAGCCACCATAATAACAATAAAACTAATGAACCATAATAAAATTTCCCGCATCAAGAATGATTCTAACTAGAAATTATATTATCGCCCACCTACTTGAATAGTAATAATGCTAAATGATTCAGGAAAAGCCTGATTCCTGTATGAACTGTCCAAGTACCTGCTTTTATTTTACAGCACGTTAGCATGGATGTATCAGATTTTTTAAATATCTGTAAAAAAAATTTTAATCCTTCAAATCAAGTCTTGGTCTTTTCATCAGGTATTCTCCTCACTCCCAGAGACAACTCCACTTATAATCCTTCGAGATCTAGAAGCTCGCATTGATGAAGTATGCTGGTTAGTTTGCAAGAAAGCATATTTAGAGCGAGACAATGCCATCTTACCGGAAGATTGTGTCTACGAGCTGTTTCGAGTTTTCTGCCTTCTAGCTGATCTGGTGCCAGATCATTCAAATCCCAATGTATATCAGGTAACTTTAAAATATTATGAAAATAAAATTAACATTGACCCAACTACGGAGAGTTTCTCCCCAGAAACTTTGTGGTCATATTTAGCTGCCCAATACCAGCATCCTTTATATTATGGAAGCAACTCAGAAATCTCCTCTTTTTAGAGGTGGCGACAGCCTTTTGTATTAAAATAGAGCTGCATCAAGTTTATAAGGAAGTCATTCTTTGTAGATATGATATGAAGTTTTGCAAAGCTCCCTAAATTTTACAACTTGTTCATTTTTTGTCGCTGAACAGTGTAGAGGCAGTAGGTGCTGGAATTGTTTCACGCAAATTCTACCGTATATTCACTCATTTTTTTGGGGAAAAAACTTAACACATGTTTGTTTAGTTTGGTACAAATCATAATTCAAAATATTCAATCTGAGATGCATTTGAAAACTTATTTTCTATTTCTCTTGGGAATGGTTCAGTATATCCTTTTTTTTTTTGTTAATACTAGTGAACCTGTGAAAAAAGTATCACCATTGCAACACATCCAAGTTTCTACTCCCTTTTTGTTTGTTTTTTTTTAAAGAGAATATCAATATTTTTGTACAAAATTTTCCAAAAACACTTTTGAAAAGCAAAGAATTATTTCATTGGTGCAGTAAGTCATCCTTCAAACTGCATGATGTTGCAGGGAATTTTCTGTGTCTCAAATCAAGAGATGTGATTTTGTATTTCATCATAGATTCACTAAATTCACTTTTAATCTGAAGTAATGAAGTATTATACTAAAGAAGTCGCATAACTCTAGTCATACTAGAGAAGCACACAAAGAAAGAAGCAAAAAGCATTATCTTGTGAGGAAATTCAAGCCTCAGTTTTCAATCTATGTTTACATGCTTACTCTCCCATTGATTATCAGGTAGTTCTGCATGCATCAGAAGTTGGGCTTGTAACATCGCAGCTTGTTACCTCCCTTGGTTCTGAATGGGACGATGTCTCCTTTGAGCATCTCACAGAAAACATGCCCGGTTTTCGGTTTTCCACCTTCCTTACTCTCCTTGAAAGTCGATTCTTGCCGAACATGGAACCAGCTGGATTGGTGGAGGCAGTCACTGCAATATCTCACACCTTCATCAAGGACGTCATTAAAAAAGTTGGTGATGATTTTTGTTACCTTGTTTTTCTCCTTTTTCTTTTGTTCCCTCTTTCTCTTTTCTTCAGCATCCCCCCCTTCTCTCAAAGCAACTAGCGTGGTCTCCCCTTATGGTCTGCTCCACTAAAAAAATAAATTTATCTTGATCATTGCAAATAAATTGACAAGTGAAGTGTCTTATCTATGTTTTAACCATCTGATTATTGGTACCTTTGTGTCATCCTCCTCACTAAGTGTGTTTATTTTCATAGGGTATTCTGCTAAAACGTGGTTTCCTGCTACCGACGTTGCGCGAATATTGGTTTGTTCTGCAACCAACACAATTGACGTATTACAAGACTCAAGAAGAGCGTGATCAAAGCGGTATCATTTCCATTGATTCACACTGTTGGGTCGATTCTAACCTCCAACGCATAATGCTTCACACCCCAGAGAGAACTTTTGAATTCGCTACTTACGATCATAGGTTTGTTACATTTCAGTTTTGTCTATTATGCCTGTTGCAGGTAAATATTTGAGAAGTTGCATCAATAAAGCCCATTTGAATGTATTTAGACTAACTAGATTGCACTGAAAGCCACTAACTTTGATCTAACCAGGCACTGTGTATTTACCTGTATATTAAGTGTTCACTTGGAGGTAACACGATTATTCCGACCTGCACATGCTTTCTTCATGGTTCTCAGTGAAGTATTAAGTTGTTTAGATCATTAGTTCTTAGACTTGGATGTTCATATGTAGATCCAACAAAATTACCGTAAGAAGTTTGCACAGGGTCATGTGTAACCTACAGAATTCTTTAATGTTTACTTACTTGTTTCAGTATGCACAAGAAATTTAGTTGCAGTAAGTGCCAAAAATAGTTGGAAAAAAGTTGATACAGTGTAAAGGAAAAATGTAAATTTTGTGAAAAAGCAAATAGGTAGTTAATTCAAAGAAAAATGATAATATGTACATAAGAAGTTGGTAACCTTCCTCTCACAATTTTTTAGTGAAGAATAATTGAATTTCAAGTAATCTCATGAAAATTCATCAAAGAACTGTAAAAACTCACTGGCTTGTAAAATTCTTAAAAGCCAGCAGTATTTCGGACTGTGTCTTGTGCGGCTTGGCTACCATTCCATATTCTTTTATAACATATAATACCTATCTTATGATGATGATTTGTATATATAGCAATATTAGCGATATTAGATTGACTCGTAGTTGCCCTAGTAATGAATATTGGTGCTATTCATGCAAGACAATTTTGGACAATAAATAGTATCATATCTTGATCTAAGGGTCATAGTATTTATGTTATTCCTCATTTGTGCATTTCAGGAGTCGGCTGCAGTGGTTATCAGCTTTACAGTTAGCCATTTCACATTCAGGTGACACTCAAGGCTACCAACGCATGCTGGCTGCCAAAAGACGTCGACAGCGAGAAATTGACCTTGAGGAGAAAAAGCGTCGGAGCAGTTTATTCCATGACATGGGAGCTCAGTTACAAGCGGAAAAACTGGTAATGCTCCAATTCATCTGTTCCTTATTTTAGATACAGCGGAAAAAATTAAGTATGAATTAAGTGGATTACATTTTGCAAAAAGGAACCAAGAGCATTCCAATGTAGCTAGGATTGGGCAGCGAATATTCTTTGCAGTAAACTTACTGAAACCATGCACAAAATTCCTTACTTTAAATTTCGGAATTTTTAGGATTATTGATGCTATATTGTGCTCACTTACTTCTGAATGTCACTGAATAGCAAACTGTCTTCACCTTCTTTTTTTCCCCTCCTTCCAGTGTAGTTTGTTAATTCTCATGTTGCCTTGTTCTTCCTACACCCTTTTTGTTTTTAAATTTTTCCTATTTAATTCGTCATTTACACCTTTAGGTCCTTTTGGATCAAGTATATTGTTGGGAATTACTTCTCTCAATTAGCTTTCTTTGAAACATTCTAATCTCAGTTTCTGTTCACAAGTAACAACACTTTTCAAATGTAAGAAATTTGTTTCAACCTGGTCACCTAGTTCAATCAGAACATGATATGCTAATTTCAAACTTTCATTTTTCTTATTTCAGGCGAGAGAGGCGGCTGAAAACAAAGCAAAGGAGCTTAAAGAGGCTAAAGAAAAACAGGTTGTAGAGTTAGAACATTTACTAGAAGAAGAAACTCAAGCTAAAAGAGATGAAGAAATTGTCAGAAACCTTCAAGCAAGGTACTGTTTTCTCATGTCAATCATTTAACGCGTGAAAATCAATTTCAGAAAATGAACCTTGATAGCAACAACAGAAATGCCTGTTTTCAAAGAAACTTAGAACAGACAGAAGTACCATTTGGCACTCGTTTACTGAACTATTAAAAATATTCCAAAGTCGCCAAATTTCTTCTCATGAAACTGCTTAATCTCGGAAAAACTTCTGATTTTTTTTCTTGCCAATTTTCCTGAGAATTTTGTTTTCAATTTGATTACCTAATGGGCCTGTTGCAAACTTTTGCTAAAGCAAAAGTAAGATTTGTTACTCATAGAAAATGTCTCAAAAATCACGATGAGCGCATCGGCAAAGTCTGAAATGCACTTCTTACTTCACAAGTTGAATACGAAATTTGCGTTTTTTCGAGCTTCCTGCTTCAAAAACGATACCATGGCACAGGTGAACATTTTGTTAGAGGAGTCATTTCATCTAAACCTTGCTCACATAGATACTATGCAATATTCAGCATAGCCGACGCCAATTCACCAAAATATATGTGACGGGAGGATGATTCTAACCAACTGAACACAATCGACGTGTTTACATTCACATTTTTCTCGCATCGATAGATATCCGCCTTGATTGACCTCGTGCTCTCCTCAACGTGCGCGCGGAAGCGTCGGCTATGTTAATCAAGGATTGAATGGAATGACTCCTCTTATGAAATGTTCACCTATGTTGTAGTATCCTTTTTGAAGTGGGAATTTTAAAAAACGTAAATTTCTTACGCAGACTGTGAAGTTAGGAGTGCATTTCAGAATTTGCCGATGTGCTCATTGTGATTTTTGAGACATGATCTGGAAGGAGCAACTCTTATTTTTGCTCTAGCAAAAGTTTGCCACAGACCTATTGTGTCTTAGAATTTCAGGGAGAGGTATTGATAATCTTTATGAAATATCAGGGAAAGTTTGATTACTTTCAAATGTCAATGTGGTACCCTTCCTTGGCTAAGCGCCATTTTTTCAATGTACCAAAAGAAGAATTGTAAGATTCATCCCTCTAAATTTGTCTTAAAAATCTGTATAAATATTTTACATCGCCTCAAGTACACTGTCGAAGCCCAGTGATAAGGCGTTTTGCTATTTTAAAGTGAATGTACAAGCGCCTTAAAATGAAAATTCCTCAAGATTGAAAACATTTCCCATCTTGTCAGGATTTATATAGATCTAAGCTTCTTTTTCATACTGTCTTAAATCTATTTTTACATGTGCTTTTCAAGTAGGAAATTTTCAAGTTGTCAAACATCCCATCCAGTTCCGTGCTTAAAGCTCTTTGAATAATAGAGTCATTCTTTTTGGAAACAATTTTTAAGCTTTGCCACGCTAATCAGGCGGTGCAGCTTCATGAATCATTCTTTGCAAATCAAACAAACCATTCATTAATTATTTTTGCACAAAAATAAGAGGGAAAGCTTTACAAGGGCCTTTAATGTGTTCAGCTGTAAATGCATCCAACTGCACAATTTGAGCAACTTTGCAATGCTCATATCGACGGTGTAAGTCGGCAATCACATAACTCGTTTTCGGTGTCTGAAAATCTCCGCCTCTATAATATTTTTTTGAAGGAGAACAAATGGACATCATTCCTCGAAGTTTTTGCAGAATTTTCTTCTTACAGAGAAGAAAAATTACGACAATTTTAAAGAATTGTCGTTGAGTAGTTTTCCGTTTAAAAAATAAAGTATGATAGGAAGTCTGCGACGTCGCAAACCGAGTTATGTGATTGCCGACTTACACCGTCGATATGTCGCTCTTACAAAGGAGGGCTCCATTTCATTAAAACATTCAAGATTCCATTAACTATCTAGTCTATTTTTCAGTCTATTGTTATTGGAATTGTTATCTAAACATACTTAAAGTTCACTTATTCTAGCAAATGTATATTTTTTTTTCTTAGAGTCTTACGGGAAGAGTGGGAAAAACGAGAAGAGCTAGAGCGACTTCAAGAAGAGCAAAGACTCCTTCTAGAGCAAGAGAGACAAAAAAGGCGCGAGTTTGAGCAGAAACAAAGAGAAAAGGAGACTCAGCTACAAGGTAAGCAGTAGTTTTCTTTATCCTTTATTTATATATTTATTTTTTTAATATCAAATTTGAATTGTTTATTTATTTATTTTTTGAGATAATGACAAGCCCTTGTGTTTCTAGCATAAACTGAGTCTGCTGTGAAGACACTTAAAGAGCTCTTTTAAAAAAGTCTCCAAAAAAAAAAGTAGATAGAAGTAAGTGAACAGAACTTCCTACATCAGGCTATAATAAGAAGAACCCACAGCTAAACTGAGATATTGACAGAATCACCTATATAATGCAATGCCAAGCAATTCGGAATATCTCAGTATCACCACACTTGGAACCTGCTTAACTGTCCACAATTCATCCATACTGACTCAAAAGAAAAATCCATTTAACTTGTGTATATTTCAATATCTTCAAAACCTTCTTTTTTAATTGTTAACTGTAATCTTTGCCCTGTCTTCAAAATCACTGTCTAATCTGCCATGATTCAAAAACAACAGTAGACATCAGTTCCCCCTCTCAGAACGTTCTGTCCTTCAGGACAATGCAGACGACTCATGTGGAAACGGTTAGCTTAAGAGGGAACGGCAATCCTCATTTTTCCCTCTTACTCACATTGCTAACTGCTTGATACTTGTTCTCTGTATATTGACATATTTTCTCTATGTATACATGTTTCTTTACAGCATTTCCTAGCACTCTTCGACACCTAATCGTCATTGACCCCTATCAAACCACTATGTTCTCTGTTATTGAATATCATTTTGGCAAGATTCATCATGGACAGATGATAAAAAAAGAGATTAGGTTAACTTTTTACTGCTGACATGGCTTCCTAAGGTGATTCGATGGACGCTTTATTTTGTGTCAGAACGGCATGCGATATATTGCATTGAATAGTTCCATTTTCTCAGCTACTTGTCATTTTTTTTTAAATTTTGAGATCACAATTCTGTTTTCAGGAGACTAAAGAATTCACTTACCAGTTTTGACAAACAAATTCAACGTAATATGGGCGTGGTTTTTTAAGAGGAAAAATGTCGCATTTGATTGCAGTTTTGATATCAGTATCGAATGCGATATTTTTCCTCCAAAACAAACCACGCCTTTATTAAGTTGAATTTGTTTGTCAAAATTAGAAAGTGAATTCTTTAGTATCCTGACAAAAGAATTGGGATCTCAAATTTCGAGGAAAATTACGAGTAGCTGAAAAAATGGAACCAATCGATCGCATGTCGTTTTGACACAAAATATGGCGTCCATCGAATCACCTTAAACTATACTTCTTTCATGATGCACTCACAATGACCTCATGAATTACAACACATAATTTTACCAGTTTCATCACTGCAAATGGCAATGAACTGTTTTTTAAATTGTTTTGATCAAATAGCTACCTGAAACACTTTTATAAGCCATTTTGAATACTTGTTCAGGATACTTAGTCCATGTCTTGTCAATATCAGAGTGCAATATTACAAACATGTACATCAGACAATGACGAAACCCATTTACTTTGGTAGCCCACATAATTTGGTACATCTGCCCAGGCCGAACTCAAACTGAGATAATGGATCTGTTGCACTGGTCCCAAAATCGTGGTTTGATGCTTAATTCTTGTAGATTAGCTAAAAACAACAAGATCTGTCCAAACCGCAACTCTCTACTTTCATTATTAACCAAGATATCGCCCTTTGAAAAGTCGGGTTTTTGACATCATCCACCGCAGTAGTGATGCCCTTGGTTCCTTCCGCCTTGTTTTCATCCAATTTTTCTGTTGAGTAACCAGTGTGTCATTGACCGATAAAAGCAAGGTGGAAGAAATCACGGGTGCCACTACCGCAGTGGATGACGTCAACAACCCGTCTTTTCAAAAGGTGATATCTCGGTTAATATTGAACGTAGAAAGTTGCGGTTTGGACAGATTTATTATTTTTAGCTAATCTGCAAGTATCAAGCATCAAAACACGATTTTGTGATCAGCGTAACTGACGCACTGCGCTTTCACTGTATCTTTCCAATTGATATATTTTGTTAAAATTTACTCTTTTGGAGGCTAATTATGAGATAATTCTAAGTTCAAGTCAACCAGAGATTTCAGGACAAAACATTAAATATGGTAGCCCTTGGCAATTGAAACATTCTCTCTTTAAAATTTGCAGCAATGTATGTTCAGTAATTAATCAGTCTATAATCAATAATACCACGCAGCATACAGGCCCTTTTTATAGGAAGATTAGAAACATTCTAGTAGCTTTGGATGATAACAGAGCCTTGAGTATTTTTTGTGAGCGAGTGCTCCAGTTTGCTGAATTCCATCCACATTGGACGCTGCTAAACTGTCCTCTAGTAGCACTTAAGAATATTCCAGAGGCATTTTTCAAGTTTCAAAAAAGTGCCCTCTAGTTATTTTATTCTTGGTTCCTCCATAACAGTTTCCAGTGATCACAATTGAACAGTTGGACATTTTTCACATTTTCTTTTAATACTATCAAATAATGTATTCTTTCAGAGGCAGAAATGAGACTCAGGGAACTGGAATTGGAGAGACAGAGATTGGATCTGGAGCTTAGCCGAGCCCAACAAAAGATTTCCCTGTCAGAGAAATCTGTGGCGAGTATTGAAGCTACCTACAAGGTCAGTTTTTTAGGATTTTAAAATAGCTTATAAGAATGTTGATAGCAAAACCTCTCATGCCTACTCTACCATTATCAGACAAAGTGAACGTTTTTGCATTTTTTTGAAAAACCATTTAACATGTACTGATCAATTTCCTCCGAATATGTACCTCTAAAAAGAATTGGTAGCGATGGTTGAAAAATCTGTCCATTTCTATTTGTTTAACTACGTTTTGAAAAGTGAAAAGAAACATAAATATTTGCACGGACTGAAAGCATTGGGTAGTTTTTCCTCAACGACTTTGTAAGGTCTCAGAATTTTTCTGAACGTTGCGAAGTCACCCCTGTAAAAAAAAAAAAATGAGCTTTAAGCTGATGCTAATGACATAGGGACCATCAGTTTTAAGTTAAGGTAAATTTGCAATCAATACAGCACTAAGCAAGGGGCATAAATGATTTTTTTTTCTTTAAAAAAAAAAAAAGATATATACTGATTAATTGAACGTTAATGATAAATGATATTTAGATACCCATGTGCACAACATTTATGGAGTAAACTGTAATTGTCTTCTATTGCGCTGTTACGTACGATATTCAGTGAGTGCATTGCAAACTGTTCCAGTGAATTTGTCATTGTTTTCCTTTTAAAAGATCAAGTCTTCCAAGAAAAATCATTTTCACTATCATGGATTCATGGAGAAGAAGCTCTTCTTGACAGTTTCTGATTGCGCTAAGGGATAAATTTTTTGTATCAAGAAAGCAATTAATTGTGCCAAGTGAAGTCTCAGTTGTGCAAAGAAAGTTTCTTTGTCGTGGTGAAATATTCATGATTTTTTCTCCCCAAAAAATTGTATCACAACATGGGAACTTTCATTGTAACAAGTAACATTTTTTGGGATGTAATCAATTACTTTTTGATGCAACAAGTATTTCCTTCAGTGTGACCAGAAACTACCCAAATAAGCTGATGATGGAATACTGAACCGGATTCTACTTGGTGTATGCACAGAAACTTGAAAATGTTTGATGGAAATAACATAGTTTTGGAGTTCAGTCATCTCATTTTAAGCATTAGGGAAAAAATAAAATCATCTTTGCTTATTTTTTTTATGATATATTTCCAGAGTATTAATCCTCAGATTAAAGTGCGTCGAGCCCTTTCCTTCATGCCGTCAACGAGAGAACGCCTTGCCAAACCAAGCAAAAAGTGAGGTGCATAAGTAACTTATTTCTAAACATTTTGAAAACCCGGTCTCCATTTGAAATTGAAAAACAATGGGAAAAAACGTCACCAAACGTTTTGTTCTTGTTTGAACTGATATTTTCAGGTAAGATTTTTTATACAATTGCTGTGGGAAAACTCTCCTTCAAAATATTTTTTTTAAAATTTTGATATCTGAAATTTACAGAAATAAAGAACAGTTGGTCTTTAAGCATCTGTATTTTTTTTCAAAGATTAAATCTCCAGAGAAATTTTCTACTGTCATTAGAATTTGATATATTTTTACTTTTATAATTTAAATGAAATTTAACGTACTTCTTAAGTTTTTGTCCTTTTAATTAGTTGAAAATGGAGTTTACCTATCAAAACTATTGAAACTTTAATTTTGTCTTCAGGGCTTAAAAACTGGGGAAAATACCCCTGCAAACGGAAAAATATCTGGTAGAAAAATTTGCTCCTAAAAGTGGTAGGGATTATTAGGAAATGCTGGAAATCTAGTGAGAAATACCAGAATTTTTCCCCTTCATCATGGCATTTTCTCTACCATTTATGTTTTTTCAACCACTGGAACAAATATTCTGACAAATTATAACTTACAAGAGGTGAAACTGAAGACTTGAGGTCAATATTAAAGTTACAACCAGAAATTTCTCTGTCTTGATGAATCCTGGCAGATCATTGACTGAAAAATTGCAATATTTTTTTTCTCCCTTAAGTTTGCAGACAATCTAATTTTGGCAAATCTTATCTGTTGAATTTGTCCGGAAAAATTGTAAACTTAAAATAAGCACAATCAGCCCATCAAAGAGCATTTGTACAGCCTTAAAGACTCTTTAAGCTGTTTATAACCTAATTAAGAAAGATGCACGGGGCAGGCTACAATATTGAGCTGCCGCCCTCAAAGTATTTTGATATTTTAGAGCCTGATATTCTGCTCAGTTAGTCAATTCTCAACTATGATAAGTAATTTTTAATACTAATTGGCTGTTGCCCTATTTATTGATTTGTAATTATAATTCATTAACCTTGTCTTGCCTTACGTAGGATGATTGCTAGAGGGAAGCAATTATTATTTGAAATTCCTATGTTGATAAGTTAGTTTACTCTGTCTTCTTCCTTATAAGGCAAACTAAACTTCCTCTAAGTTAATTTTACATTTGTATGGGGATTATTCTAAAGTTTCCTAGGCAGCCGTCCATAAATTAAGGGAAATTTTTGAGTTGGGTAGACGTTCTTGTCATTTATACGCAATTTTTACTGAAGCAATTTGTACCTACTTATTTCATTGATATCTTATATCTTCCGTTTTTCGAGGAATGAATGGGAAAATAAGAAATTGTTTACTTCCTTTGATTGCCAATCGCAATACTCTTTTTTACATTTTTACAAAGTAACCTGGACCCCCGAAACTTCTGAGTGGCATTTTTCAGCAAAAAAGATCCAATTTTATCAAAGTAAAATCGCTATGAACATGTGTTTACTAGCGTTTTTAAACGATTTCATCGTAATGAAATCTGTATTTTTTTACTGTAAATGAATTTTCAAAAATCAAAGATCGGCACTCATCGAAGAGCAATTTTATTGCAGTCATTTATTAAATATCCTAATTTAGTGTCTGCATAATATTGCTATGAACTGCTATCAGCGAAATTGCAAGCATTTACAGATCAAATTGGATTTTACTACAATCATTGTTGCGCAGGTAATGCATTACGTTTTATGTGGGCTCTTCGAAGAATTAGAGAAGGTATTCAGTCAGAGTAAGCATTCTTTAATTTCCTGGTTGGTGTCCAACACAGTGTTCTGGAGTGTATTTGGCTATAAAAATGGTGAATTTACAAAAATACAAAATGTATGGATGATTGCGTAGGGTAAAAGATACCGCTCAGACGCAAGAATTAAAATATTTGCCCTATGAACTTGCCGAGTGTTCCGAAACTTCTGTTTTGGTCAATTCTTGTCCAAGAAAAGCTTTTTGGGAGTTGCCGTTCCTAATTTCAATATCTTAAGATTTTTTTAATGTATCTTCCATGTCTTTCTGCTGAGTTCTTATCCTACTAAAATTTTTAATGTTACCTCTTATCTTACCTGTTAAAGTTTTCAGTAAAGTTGAATATTTTAGGAACTGTCTCTTTTGAACCATCTTTAATGAAAAATTTGTTGTAATTGATGGATTTTCTTCTCTTGGCATATATTTTCTTCAGCATTTTAAATTATTACGTAGTATGCCTACACGTTGTTAAAGTTATTTTGTTACTCTTTCTAAATTTTACTGATCGTTAATTTTTTTGAAATTACTCAAAGTCCACCCTCTCAGTCACCCATTAACTTTTATAGTAACATTCCACTACATATTTCCTTTTCCTTGCATTCTATTTTTTTTCTACAATCCTTTTGTTATCAGTACTTAGGTTCTCATGAAATAGCATTTATTTAAAAATTAACTGTGATCGTAGATGGCATTCCAAAAAGGATGTTCAGCACTCTTTTATACTTTTATATTTTGAAGATGAAGTGAATAAATGATTTTTTATGGATTTTATACATGTATTGAGTCATTTGTGATCTTTAACTTTTATAAATGTGATGTATTGATTTATCCCCTATCAATATTTTTTTTTGACAAGTTTGTAATGGTAAATCTTCAATTTTAGGTGTTGCTGTAAGATTAAAGTATTTGGTGTGACAAGATGGACATTTTTTCTGGCAGTGTTAATGAGACGCTGATCATTCAAAAAAAAAAAAAATTGAGATTGTGCCAATACATATCTTCTTACTGATTTGATCCACCTCCTTTAGTTCAGAAGTAGAGAAACTTATTTGTTGGATGACCCTCGTATACTCTACTTTAAAGCCAAGTATCATTTCTGCTGAATTTTTTAGAATTCATTTCTTAGAGAAATGGAGGACACTACTTGAAAAAAGTGATGATAAAAAACTACCAATATTTCTCTGAAAAACTTTATTCTACTTTTTTGGCTGAAAAGAATAAATCTTCCGTGGAAAATAAATTGAATATCACAAAAGTTTATCGAACTCCAAATTTTGAACATATCCTCTTTATTTTTTAGCTCCTTTTTTACCCTTCTTTCTGTTCCCATATTTTTTCCCTCTAGTTTTGAGTTTAGCCAGGTAATTGCGTACACATCGCTGTATTTTCCGAGCCGCAAATTTTTGTCTAACTTCCAGTAATCTCTGATCCCAGAGCATCTGCTCATAGTCTCTTTTTTCTGCCATCAACTTGACGTATGTCTCATTTTGTGACTCAAAGTTTTTCTGAAATTCAAATCAAACAATTGTACTAGATATTTCGTTAGTCTTGATTGTCCAAGGAAAAAGAGCTTTAGTGCCTCTAAATTGAAATTCAATGCACAGGCGCCGTTGCTCAAAGAGGTTTTTTTTTACAAATATAATGGCTTAGAAACTGACCAAAAATTTCAAGTCAAACTGGAGTCTGAAGGATTTGAAGTCCGGCATTCAAAAATCAGTTTCTGAGAATTAGTTAATAAAATTTTTATCTGCCCTGTTTTTGACACCAAAATAAATCAAATCACTTGAAGATTACTCTCTAGTGTACTTACTAAAGAGCTTTTTCCATAGAAAAGTTTAAATTTTGTCTTACCATCCCAACATGTCAAAAAAACCCATTCTGAGGAGATTGTCACTATGCACCAATGCCCTTTTTCCTGTGAACTGTCACATCAAAGAAAGGAAGGAAGCATTTTCCTCCTCCTTCAGAGGAAAAACCTTTGCCTTCTTTTTTCAGGTCTTGAGTATCCTACAACGTACAAATTCTAGAAATATTAATGAAAGGAATAATGTATGGAATGTATGTGCATTTAAAGGAAAAACTTATTATTGCATTTTACAGAATAGGTCAACTAAGGGAAACAAATGTGGGAATTGGTTAGGGGAATTCTTCTTGGGCTCCCACCAATCATAAAATCAAACTGGCGTGTGATTTTAGGACAAGTTAGTCTAATTAGCTTGGGATGACTCCCATCAGTGCAAACTTACCTCTGTAAGTAAGAAAGGAAGTTTAATTCTCACTAAATATTCTCCATTTTTAGGAGTTCTTGCCAGCAATGTAAGTTTTTTACGCCTGGAAAACATTGATTTTTGTAAAACAAGTTGTAAAGAACAATTAACTTTCTGTGCTCTCTTTTATAATTTGCATATCTCCTCAAATAGTTTAATTTGGTTAGAACTTTACCTTCAGCTCAATGTACATAAGTTTTTCCTTTTCAAATTGTGCCATCAGGTTCTCTAATTCGCATTGTTTCCTGTTCATATCTTCATCATACTTGTCTATGAGAGATTTCAGTTCCGTCTCAGAATTTTTTCTAGCCAAAAAATAAGTTATCAAAACATGAAATTTTTTTTTCCAAGCAGTCCAAAATTACAGTGATAAAAGAAATTTCACAACATTGATTCATTAACCTCCTGCAGTTCATTCATAATAGATTTATACCTTTTGCAAATGCTTATAATGATTGAATACATCATTCTATGTTTGATAATTTCAAACATGATTTAATGTCATCTTGCTCGGCTTGTCGAAATTGAAAAATGGTCACAAAAAGTATCTCACAAAATTAATGACTTCAATAAGATGCAGGTACACAAATTGTTCGGTCAACTACATTCCCTTCAATTTAAAACGAGACAAAGAAATTAATTCCAATAGAAAGTTTTGAGCAGTGAAAATAATATTGGTACAGATTCTAAATTACCCTAAATCATATCGCATGGTTGAGAGATCTCAAGATTAAGATCAATTTGATACCTTATCGCGTGTAATGCCTCTTCCCTTTCCTTGTTGAACTCTTGAAGACCTTTCAGCTTCTCTTCTGTGGCGGCCAAAGTTTTCAACATGTTTTCCTGTCTTTGTCTGCTGGATCGAATACCAAATGCAATTTTCTCTTCAGATACTTCTCTAGAAAAGACAACAAAAAACAACTTTAAATAGGTGTGTTCAAATGAATCCTTGTCAGTTCACCGACTTTGAAAATTACAATATCCGTTCGTAAAGAGATCTTCTTATCCTCACCAATTATAACTTAATGAAACCATTCCGATGGCCTACTGAAAACCAATAGGAAACTCCTAGCTCTAATGCCGTCCTCTCATGGGAAAAGAAAATATCTCTCATGTTAAGAAGAAAACTAGAGGTGGTGGTTTATTTCAATTCTTTTTTTAAGAATATTTTTGATATCTTCAAGTATTTCTGGCAAGTATGAAATTCCATCTCCAACTTGACTACTTAATGCCACCACAGAAGCAGTCAGTATTAGGTATCACAGAAGACTTACATTATTTTTCCGATGTTCCTGGATACACTCTGTCTAATAGCTTCTAATTTTACCCTGTAATCGGCAATAAGCTTTCGCTTCTCTTCCAGTGCCTGTTCGCACTGAGTTTTCTGATCCTCGTATTTTACATGGACTTCAGCGAGCTCTTCCTCAGCTTTTCTGGCAAGGTCCAGTTGTTCCTGATCATCCTGCCTGCGATTCGATTTGAATTTAGACCCGCTCTCGGTTTTTTGAGTAGGAAGTCCCCTTAACTTCTGGAAAATTCTCAAGAACTCTCTTCCTGGTTCTGATGTCTAGAATCAAACGTGAGTTGAAAATGGGCTGCTGCATGGAAGATGTTAGAAAAATGGCTCATCCCTCAATTAATGTTTTCCTCTCAAAATTTCGCGTTAAAAATTGCAAATTCATAAAAATTTTGATATATTTGAGACTAAAATTAGAATGCTATTTTTCAAAATTTTAATTTTTTGAAATTAGATAACAGCATAGGTAGGAGAAAGTCAGGATTAGTAATGATGAAGGAAAAAGATTTTAATTGACAATATACTTAAGTGATATGTGAGGCATCTATTTTATGTACTCATAAGTGCAGAGGATGTAAACTATAAGCCATTTTGACATAAAAGAGTGCCACCATCATAACCCTTGAGCAATTTTATTCAAAATGTTTAGTCTATGAAACTTTAAATTGCTCAGAAATGACAAATTTCATAGGGAAGATGTAGGTATACTGACCATTTCTTGAAGATTTTCCTCAATGTAGGCCTTCATATCATGGGTTTGGAGGATTGAGAAAGTTTTATAACAAAGTTTTGAGATTTCTGCTTTGCTTTCCAGGAGATAGGTTGAACAAGTGCCTGAAATTTTTTTTGTTCTAATTAAAGCATCATTTCGATCTCTATGAGTTTTAATTTTTTCCATTTCAAAGTAGTTTCTCCATCCATTCTGCAAATACTCATGATCTACTGGTGACAGATACTGTTTTAACAATTCTACATTTTTTGCTAGTAGGCTGTGTAGGCTGAGCTGAAAAAATTTAATGAAGGAAATAATTTATACTGAAAGATATGTCACACATACTTCTACACATCAAAATAAATAGGGATTAAAGTTCAAACAAATAATATTAAGTAAAAAAAGAAAAACTCTCAATATACCTATATTAATATTTTGCTTCATCCTAAATTTATTCCCAGACTAATCGGTCAAAGTAGGCAGTCCGTCAAAATTTTCTAGAGAATCCATCATGTAAAACTGAGTCTTCCAACCAGCGTGGTAAGTATAAGCATACTTTTTTCAGCATTATACTGCGGCTATTCAAGTCGTTTTTTATGTTAGGTTTAAGCGATCATCTTTTGAAAGATGTCTGAAGTTTTTCTCATGTTTAATTTTTGCTTCGGGGAAAAATTATGAGCATTTTATTTATTAACTTACTCCTATTTTTATTTTCTCTACAGCCTCAGATAGTACGTTCCAATTACATTGGTCTTCGGAAGTCGAATCTAACATTCGCTCTTCCATGAATGTTGGATGCGATTTACCCTCTATCACTCAAGTAATATTAATTTGCTGCAAATTATTAGTGGTTGCGCCAAAACTCAGTTCAACCGATCAAAAAATGACAGTTCTATTTGCAGGTAATACGAAAACTTACTTGTTGACCTCTGTTGCCATGGACAACTGATACAATTTTTTTGTCATTCACTAATGTTCAACTTCTGAAATAAAATGACTCCAACAATTTTCATCATTGTTATCAGTCAAATTTCATCCACCTCTCTTGCTTGCGAAAGAACATCGACGACTCATTCGGTTCTTGGGAAGATACTAGAAATATCGGAAGTGTCAGCACAGTTCCGCTAATTTGAAATTCCCGGTACCAATTCGTCCTTCCCAGTAATGCCAACTACTACCATTTTGTTTCTCTCGGGACGTATAAGTTCTCTTTGTTTTCATGTTTTCTGCGTCGTTATAAAGTATATTTTTTTGTTCTCAGCCAAATTTTCTTACAATCTCTAAATAATGCTACTTAAAGAATCGAAATTTTTGCTTTTGATTGAACAATCGGCTTTTTTCAGCTATGTAGCTCAAAGTCAATTAAGTTGTTGCACCTGATAAGCAAGACCAGACAGGTGCTGCTAAAATTTTGCCACGGACCCACGGATAAGAAAGTAACTGTTTATCACAGTGAAAAACTCATTGCAGTTTGTAGTACTCGCGAATTTTCCAAATTACTCCGTTTCCCGGTATTTCTCAAGTTTCGTGGTTTGCGTAAGGTTTACCCATCAAAAATTCTGTACTTTAACTTTTCCGTGCTGTTTTTCACCTAGGTACATGGTTTGCACCCGTTTTATCGTTTACCTGTGGATAAAACTCATGTCAGGTAAAGGAATGTTTACATTTGACACTGTTTTGTAAACAAATCTAATTTTTTTGGGGCATTTGACCTGAGGCTGCATCCCTAATCGTAACTATCACTGCATTGTCTCTGAATGAAGTGAATATCATGGAAACAAGAGTCATGCCTCTCAGTACAGAAACTTCTCACTAATTCTGAACCATGCTGCTTTTGGTCATGGGTGAGAGATTACTAGAATTAGGGAAAGTTTGTCCAGTGCGCTCCTCAAAGAAGCGACACTTCGACATTGCGGACGCATATTTCCTCCCATCCTCTTATTTTTCAATATTTCAGAAATGGAGTCAAGAAATTAAACTGTCAAGGAAAATTTGCTCTATTTTGAGGCTTTGGGGTAACATATGTACTTAGTAATTATTCTATGATTTGCGAACGATGAATTCGCAGATGATATTCATTGAATGCATACCTACCTGCTCACACGGACTTGTTCATCGGTCCAATATCTTCATGACTAAAATTGTAAAATGTTCATGACTATTGCAAATTTTCTAAATCCCTGATCTTGTCTCATTACTTTTAATGAGTAACAATAAATTAACGAAGAGTACTTAAACGTGAGTGGAGATTTGCAATGTCATTTTTCAACTTTTACCTACCATCTGCATACCATGCTTGTGTCAAGTTTATTCCAATAATCACGAAGACATCACTATCTGTTTAAGAGAACTACATGAAGAATACGCTGAGAATATGTGACCAAGTTATCATTCTTAGAGTTCCTAAAGGTTCTTAGAGCTCCAATTTTCAGCGCTCTCTACAAATTAAATTGATTCTTTGAGTTGCCTTTGAAATCGTATTCTTATTGTGTTATTATTTAGTGTGTGCCGTCAACGCAATTTTGATAGCATTTTTCATTCTGCCACTGACAACATTTTTAGAAGGTTGTTAGAGGATAACTCTCCTTCATTTAAAGACTGCGTTAGAACAGAAAAATCTAAGATACCTCTTGGATATTCATACTGATGCTCATGATCTTTATTTTTTCAGGATCTTGAGGAGAAACTTCAGGAATGTCTTCGTTACCATCTGTTCCTCAGCGCCTTCGCTTTTATTCTTCATTATTTTGGTAAGTGAATTTGAATATGCATCAATCATTGACTCATGCCACCATTCATTAGGCCTCCTGCTTACGTACTTCCCATAATTTTAAGGGAGGAATTTTTCCAAGAGAACAGAATCAGAATTAGGACTGAGCATGCTGCTATTGGAGTGAGATTACAGAAAGAACGTTTATATTTCTGTAGCTAAGGAACCGCTTTTGGTATGAAATGTCTAGGAAATGTTTAAAGGTTATATGAGGGTCAACTACCAGAAAAAAAAACATAATTATAAAATATACTGTTTTTAACCAAATTCAATTTTTTTTTATTTATTTTTATTATTTTTTTTAAAAAAAGAAAAATTTAAAGCTTCCAAGCAAAACCTACCTAGTTCAAGTTTTTTCAATGAACCGTTGTAAAGTTATAGCCGTTTAAAGTTTTATGGGTCGTAAATTTTTTGCAAATTTTGAAATTCCTCAAAAAATCAATGGAGCGACCAAATGACCTAAAATCTGAGTAATTTTTTTTTTCTACTAATAGCACACCAAGTCTGAACACAAACAGTATCAAAGGGGTCAAGGTTCAAAACCTTGCTGAGTTGACATGAAAGGACACCCCTTGTTCATCTAAAGTTACCACCATTTTTTGGGTCCTATAGGTCTCTGCCGAGTTCAACGTTAAAACTCACCTTATAGAGGTACTCGGGACGATTCTGGTCAAAGCAGCTCAAGTGGTCTGAACGTGGGTTTAATAGAATCTCACCAAGTCACATAAAAATTAAACTTAGAAAAAAAGGTTTATTCTTAGGTTTTATTCCTCCATGATACTCAATATTACTCAAGTTCTTAGTTATAATGTACATGATTATTGATTGAAAAAATCATGTCTGTATAGCTTAGCCAGCCAAATTTGGCGCTAATGTGTGTTATAAAGTACTGTTTTCACGTTCAAAATAGTTTTTCTCTACTTCAAATTTTTGACAGGAAAAATGTATGACTGCCTGATTTCAAAACTTCTCCAAACCCGTTTTCCCCTCCGGAAAGCGACCTAGTGTATCTATGCAAAATTAGGTCCAAATAATCGCACTGTTTGGCAAGAATGTGCTCACGGATCATATCTCTTACACCCGGGGTTTAACCGCACTTCTGCTCCTACTACTTTGTAAGGCTCTCGATCAGATGAGATGCGAAAAAAAGCACTGATGGTATCGGTTGGGGGGGGGGGGCTTGTAAAAGCGGAACAGGGACACGTATGGCGTGAGAAAAAAATACACGGAGCAGCGGAGTGATGGGTTCCAATTTGCACGGACGCGGTCTAGGAAAGCATAACCGTCAAAACACGGTATCGTCTCCGTGTTTCAGCAGCAGCGGGAAACCAACTCCAGGCGAAATTTGATAAATCGCTCACAATTTGTTCCCGGCCTGGACTTAATTACATTATCGTCTCTCTCGGATATGCCCGCACGTATTTTGCCGCGCTACGGAAGAACGGTGTATGACCGCTCGAAAGTTGCCAAATGGAGATGTTGCATGTGTGAGGAATTTGTGATTTGACTTTTGATTCTTCTGTTAAAGTTCGCGAGAAACACGATGGTGCCACTGGTTTTCTCTGAAATTAACTCCCAAGCTCAAAAAAAGCTCTCAAGTTGAGGCCAAAATGTAGGGGATATTCCACGCTATTCTGAGAGTCCACCTCTACATCAAGACAAACTCTCCATGCAAATATAGGGAGCAAATACATTGAGAGGGCTGCCACTTTAATTGGGGATTCTAATACTGAAAACACGGCAAACCTGCTAATGTGTTCGCTCCCTATCTTTGCATGGAGAGTTCGTCTTGATGTAGAGGTGGACTCTCAGGATAGCGTGGGATATCCCCTCCATTTTGGCCTCAACTTGAGAGCTTTTTTTGAGCTTGGGAGTTGATTTCAGAGAAAACCAGTGGCACCATCGCGTTTCTCGCGAACTTTTACATATGATTCAGCAGTCAAATCGCAAAGTCCTCACACATGCAACATAGCTCTCAGAAAAGTCACGAATAATCTTCCTTGAAACTTTCAGATTAACGAACTTTAATACAGAGTGAATATAATTTTCATTTTATGGAAAATTTCCCTCAAAATCCCAAGAAAATTCGTATTTTACATCAATGGAAATTTGGCAACACCTGATTGTTTATACGGCGTTTTCCCCGCAACATGGAAGAATTTTGCTTTGTACTGTTCCACCTTTCGAGACCAACAATCTACGCAACTGAATGTAACAGAAAGCAACCAACTTATTTGCCTCTCATTAGAGACGACGCATCTACCATCAATCTTCCATAACAAATACTTGCTTTTGAAAGCATTTTTGCTCACTTGGCTCTTCTCTAACTTCATCCAATCGGAGTGAGAAAAATGAGAAATCCAGTCCGTCACGCTTATCCGCGAACGGAATTCAGTTTTTTCAAATCGATCGGCCGGGAGCCAGTTTCCTCGAAGAGGTGATCCCAACCAGTTGTTTTTGAAATTAAACATGTTTAAAAAGTCATATTTTATATCAGGAATAGGAGGAAACATTTACTTTCTAAACAAGGTATAAGATGTACGTCGGTAAGGCCATGCAATTATCCCTGAGAGAATGAGGAACGAGTTCTGGCCAATTATGACGATCCTGCTTGACTTGCGTTGTATTCTTGACCAAAATGTTTCCGTTTCGAATTTTGCCTGCTGTTTTTTTTTTTTTTTTTTTTTTTTTTTTTTTTTTTTTTTAATTTAAGAAAATAAAATTATCCAAAATTTCACCACGGAGCCATCTGATGTGAAACGACTTAGAATAATTAGCGGCAAATTTTGAGGAAAACTGTTGTCGTTCTTTCATAATAAAAAAAAAAAAAAACGCGGTACCAAAAAATAGAAACGGAACATGAGTGAAGGTATGCGACGGTGCAATCGAAGATAAATCGGGGTTTTTGCGCGTAGCTGTTTATATCTGACTTCATTCACGGAAGGCGTTTTGAGATAACTATTCGACCACGGGAGATGTCCATATTGCCGCTAGTTGGATTGAAGGCGCGTCACTTTAAGACGATGACAAGACCAAGACAACGCTGCGCTCGTTGGCGCGGCGCAATTTTTCCGATATCAACCGATATACATCGTTTATCGGCTCCACCAAAGCTCATAGAGCCGTATAGTTGCGTGTTCTTGGAATAGATAACTATTCGCGCTTCTTGGTATGTTTGTTGCATATGCGAAGAGGTCGAAGGAGAACCTCAAATGGACGATACCTCCC